AATTTGAATTCCATATCTTTCAGGCATCTTGAACTACAACAACGATATGTTATGACTTTAACATAAAGATCATGTCATCCAAGTGATGTAGCATGATGATGTAAAATGTAACACCACGTCAATTCTTTTTTGACCTTATAGCAATAAACTTTAGTACAACTCTACACATTAGAGGACAAAGTATCATATTTTCAGCATGGTATCAAACAACATTCAAGATGATACTGATCCAACATACATTTCAGACATGATGACTTCACCAGGGTACTTCTTCCAACACATCTCAAGCATAGAACATGGAGGCCTCTCATGCAGTCTCACTACATATTATTTTTAATTTTCAAGTCTCAAAGCAATCTTACCAACTATTAACATCTTGCAATGTGAGTTTAATGCCAGATACCTCTCTTCACTGGATGAAAGGGAATAGTGGTTGTCTATTGCTACACCAAGAAAGCAATGCTGACCCCATGGAAAAGGTACCCAATCTGCAGATTTCAAAGCCAACGAGTTCGAAATTGGCACCTCCAACATAAATAAAGCATGGCAACCGGCATCTTGGATTGAATACATTATCATCCTAATAGCACTTAAGTGATGTTGGCAATGGATAATTCACTCTCTTTGTTCAGGAAAAAAAAAACTCACTCCCAGTAATGAAGTCCTCATCAAGTCGGATGACAATGTCTCATAGAAGAAAATGCAGTTCACTATAACTGATTGGTTGCTTTGGCAAATCCATTTAAGGAGATAGATTTATACCAACTCAATAAAATATGAGACTTGTTTCGATATTTGCTAAAAGGAAAACCATCTACACACCAATGGTGAAGATAATAATTTCAACAAATCAGGTTACAGGGTTTCCAAATGTCCTATTCGGAAATATTTAAGAAAATTAACTCACATGATAGCCAAATAGATACATGACAACATTCTAGCCCTGCTTCAGGATTTAAAACTTCGGTACCAATGTATGTAATCCTCCGCTAAATCCTATGTCATAAAGGGCATATTTTATCTGGGAAGAGAAGGGGGGGGGGGAACCCCCACACATCCAATTCCACAAGTATGTTCTTGAAACAATGTCATTTAATTGGAATACACGTGATCCTATCAAATGTTTCTGGCACATGCTGAGAATGACATATTAAGTTACAACCACAACAACCAAACCTCCAAATAACCACCTTTGCAACTCCAGTAATTCCCATATATTAAATCTACAAGGAAAACATGCAAGAAATATCCAATCTACTCAAAAAGTAACATCTTGCTCATGGCGTACTGACATGTAATAACCAGCCTCAGCCATACCTTAAATGTTTAGATGTTTTTCAGCCATCAGCGCAAAAATATAATTAATATTGGATGAAACAAAGCAAAATTAAACAAATGATTGGATTGAGAGATCAAAGGTAACAAATATTTATAGTAATTCCCACTTCCCTAATTCATGTATGCCAAATCTACCAGGAAAGTATGCAAGAGAAATTCAGAGCTACACAAACAATAATATATTACTCATGAAATGTTTTGACTAGCCTCAGACACATCTTAAATGTTTTCATGCCATCTGAACAAATATATAATTAAAATTGAAACGGAACACGGCACATGAATGGATTGAGAGAACAAATATCACACAAATTTATACAAGTTCATTGTAGGTAATTCAACAACTGAACCACTTTTTCAAAGTAGATACTTCAGCTCCAGTGACAAAAAATTAAACACACACACACAGAGGGTGCAGTTAAAATACTACTAGAAAATAAATTATAAAGAAAAATATGCAAGGAAAAAAAAGGCAAACCTGATTCATAACATCTTTTATCATTTCTCTGGCAATTTCAATTTGCTTCTTATCCCCAGTTACCCTCACTGTCCTTTCTTTTGATCCATCCCCTTCTGGGAGATGTTGTGGTATCAACTAAAAAGATATCAAATTGTCAGATTGGCAGGACCAGTTTTGCATACCTTTAACCCTTACTGGGACATATAAATATCAAGTACCTGAATTTGAGATTAAACCAACCTGAAACAGGTAAGGTAACATACACCATTTTGAAGACTAAGGCATCTTTTAACAGGTGTGATAATGTGCGAGCACCTATATGCCAGTGCTTCCAGGTAAACATACAGTAAAACAAAGAAAAATGAAAACCTTCTCATTTGGAACTTGTATCTCAATTTGATCAGCAGCACCAGCAGCCTGTGTGGTAGCAAGGCCCCTGGCTACTAGGGAAGGAGAACCCCCAGCTTCAGCCTGAAACAAATACAAACATCAAATTAATACAAGAAACAAAGGGTAAAAATTTGGGCAGTAGAAAGGGGGGAGGACAGGGTAAATGATGAACGCATGGAGCTAGATATGAATAAACAAATTTCAGAAACAGTGTACAACCTCTGCTATGACAGCACTTATAAGATTCTCAGCTTTTTTTATGCTACTTAAAGTTCCAATTATTTCCAAAGGTCTTGTAGGTGCATCCCGATCAGCATCTGCATCCCTCATAATTTGAATTTTTGCACCCGAGTTGTATTGCAAGTACCTTATAGTATCCCCTGCCTTGCCAATGAGAACACCAACCTGCACAAGCATATGATAAATAAAAATCACAACACAAACTTCCAAAACAAACTCAAGTTGAGCCTTTTTCATTAAATCACGAGCACTGAAGCAATGATCATTAGTGTGGTGGCACTGTAATAAACAGGAAGTAACATTGTCTGGAAAACAAAATGTTTTGTAATAATGAAGAGGTCGTAAGGCATTGTTTGGATAACAAAAAAATGGTATAGTTCACCAAACATTGAACAAAAAATGCAGAATACACATTTTATGAAGTTTAGAGCTTAGACACATAATGATTCCTTTCAAATGATGAGATTTAACAGATGACATTGAGCTTCAGAGAGCAAGGGAACAAAGAGATATCCTAGCATTGATGGAAAAGTTGACATCAGATAGTTTTCTTTATATGACATGATAAACGGATTATAGTACAAAAGGGTTTGTTAATGTTTGTTTAAAGAAACTACAACCAAATTAACCTAGTTTACACCCAGTAAAACAATTCACAATGAGACAGCTTAAAAAATTTAGTCAGCATACCTTAGCATTAGGAACCTCCATTTTGCGAGTAATAGTTGAACCATCATCAACCTCCTGCTGGGGCAACTCATCAGGTTGCTCAGTATCCTCTTTAGTGGGTTCTTGACCATTATTTGCATCAAAACGCTCAACGTTACCTAAATCAGCATCAGCAGTTTCAAGATTATCTGTAGACTGCTGACCTGTTTCCTCTGTAGTTCCTTCAACTTGCTCGGGTTGTACAGTATCATGAGCCTCCTTTGGAAAAGTGTCATCATCCTCTGCTTGCTTGTTAACCTCAGTTTGCGCAGGAGCCTCCTCTTCCTCCTTTGCAGGCTCATCCAATTCCTCAGCCTGGAACCCATTCTCACAGGCTGTTATGTTAAGCATAAGAATCATAGAATTAGAACAGTTAGATATGTCAAGCAACAATGAGATAAACTAGTTCTAAACCATATTTTGTTTTTGTGATTGATTTAGCTATTTCTTTTTGCTTTCTGCACAAAATTGAAGAAAAAAAATAAAGGTGATTAATACCACATTTTCTATTGTTAAAAATTAACATCAAACTTTCCAAACTTCACATAATGCATTTCTACATTTCAATCATAGGCTCCAAACATTGGCTCTTACTTTTAAAACAAGTAAAGGCAAATAACAGAAAAAATAAGTATAAAAATAAATAACAACTAAACGCAGATTAATTTTCTCACTTCATATTCACCTGTCACATAAAATCTCAAATCTTAAACATCTTTAATTTTCTAAAACAAAAATCATAGAAAACAGCAAGGAAACTCTAGAGCTGTCGTTTTAATCCCATAAATACATTACTAAAATTGAATATAAAATCAAATGAGAAGTAAAGAACAGAGAACATTTTCATTACCCAAGGCACCGGTATTATCTTCGTATAACCTAGGGCGTTTGGCGTCGTACGAATCAGATGGTGTCACATCGTTATCTTCGGCATCAGGGTCTACAGGAGAGCCAGGAGGCATGTCGACAGGGGGATCTTGGGGTTCGAGATCCTCAAGTTTCCGTTTATGATCGGAAGGGGCGGGGCTGGGTGCAGCGGCTACGGCATCTTCCTCCGCCATCAAAATGTACGAAAAAGGATAGCTAATCTAGGGTTTTGAGAAGAAAGGACAAATTGCAAAGCAATGAGAGGAAGAAAGTGCTGGATGAGGATCGAAGAAGTGATGAAAAATCGAGCTCGTTGGCTGTAACTGTAAGTATTAGGGTTTAAGGCTGATTTATATTGAAAAAAATATCACAATTCACAATTTCTTTTTTCCCTTATTTTGGGGAATGTCTCAGGAAAGGCCCTCGTATTTTTCAAAAAAAATCAATATGGCCATCTTTTTTTTTTCATTTAATGTGGTCCTCTAAATCAGAAAAAAAAATTAATATGATCCTTATACTAACAATTTTTTACCGTTAACCAATAGTTCTGTTATTTTTTGCTAACGTAGCACGTTAAGCATGCAAAAATTTTATTTTTTCTCTTAATTTGACCTTCCAACTCAAGAAAATACTTCAATCTGACCCTCTTATTTTTTCTTCTATTTTGGTCATTAAACTTTAAAAATTTTCAATTTAAACACTTAACTTTTGAATTGCTCATGTTTTAATCATCATGATTTATTTATTAATATTTATGTATGATGTGATATTTTTTTCTTTCAACCAAAGATTTTCTTTTTTTTTCTTTCATTATCAGATTCAATGAACCCACATTGAACTTGTAAAAAATTTGAGTTAGGACCTAATTGCATCGACTTTTCTAAGCCATTATTAAGTACAATAAAGTATCACTCAAAAACAATTAAGTACAATAAAGTAGTAAAGAGATTCAATACGTTGAAAACATCAGAATTAAAAATAATCAACTTTTTCTAGAAAATAATGAAAACACATACATATTGTCTTCAAGTATCGGCATTTTGGTTCTTACATGAACTGACATTGACGGATGATAACCCTATTGTATCAGGACTCTTTAGCTGATCAAGTTGCTTCTTACCAAGTCGAAGCAAATACTCAACATAGAGGAAATTTTTGCGATCTACTTGATTGGAATTCCGACGGAACTCAGCCGAGACAATCGATTCAATCTGTCGTTGATCTTCAGCAGGCTTCGAACGAGCTGCTCGTAAAAATCCTCTGTATAGACTAAGTACTTGCTTTTGCATCCCAGAAAGCTTTTGCCCTTTGGATGCATCCATTTCAGCTGATCAATTATATTAGGCACTTGAATAAATAAAAAAAAAATTATATCAGGCACTGGATGTCACTAAAAGCGGCTCCCAATGTATTTTAAACGGTACTCAAACCCAACTGGAATTGTTCTACTAAAATCAGCAGGACTAGGCAAGCATACCCACAGAAAGAATTAACACCAATCCCCATTCATAAATGAACTGATTCGCTGAACATATAAAACAATATACAGAGAGGCTGAACAAAAAATTTCACATTCAATAACACGGCAATGAAACAAATAAATGGACACATAAACAAGCTAGAGCATCAAATCATAGCAGAGAATATCAATCAGAAAATAAAACATCCACCAGGAGTCCCAAATCACATTATAGATGAACCACCAGCATCAGTAATGATGGTTTTATGTTACTCAGATGTGGGTGTGAGTATCAAATATGGGTATAAATAGGTTATTTTTTGGAGAATCATTGGAAATAATATCTCCGTACCCATGTGTTGGGCATGGGTACTTTCCGAAATGAAGACTAGGACGAATGTAGCGATGGTTGTTGTTTCAAGTCAACAGGCTTGAGTACCTTGAATACTTGAGGTAAAAAAATATACTATCGCTTCTTTATCTTAACGAGAACACAGCACCAATACATTATTTTATCAAGTTATAGAAATCCAATAGGCTTGGATTCTGCATACATTCTAAATCAATCAGTTGTTACAGATTACAAGAAGGGGAAGAATAAGCAAAGCAACCAAGTTGACAAAGCAAACAGTGTCCAACTACAACTCTACAAGGATTAAACGAGCTGATTGGCAAATTCACGTGACAATTGTTAAGGTTCATTGCATGAGTAGCTTGTTTTATAAATAAAGAAAAAAATGCGTATAAAAATAACCTCAGCATCCACTTGCAAATCTAGGTTCTAATATGGAAGCCAATTCCATTTTTTCATGAATAGCTCACATATTCCTAGTGCTTAGTTGTATTATTGTACTCACTGTTTCATTTCATCCGGGAAACATTTGTTATGAAATTCATGCATGAATCTTTAAAAAAAGCAAAAGAAAAAACAATAACCCAAACAAAGACTTTTATCGAACATCTTGTGTGTGCTTCTGAAATGGCCCAAACTAGCACCATGCTTCAGACATGATCCGCGAGATAATCAGATAAACAGAGTATAGCCGATTATATGAAGTTTCTATTTAAAGAGAAGAAGCTGGTTTTGCTTAATAATTGGTGGAGATTCTAAAAAATTCACAGATCAAGAATGGAACTAACATTGTTGTTTCATGATGATAGTGATTGATTTTGTTTGCAGATGGAATTCAGAAAATTGCATCGAAACTGAATACCTGGATTCGAGGATAGCTGAAAAACAAGTCTTGATAATTACCAATTGCGGCAATAGGAAAGCGTATATGCTCCTATCCCTCACTTTCCTGCCCTTTTAATTAATACAACAAAACACATATGAAACTTTTCTGCGCATTCAAAACCTTCTTACCCGATGAGGCCATTGCGGAGTTTAGTTTTTTTTTTATATATCGAATTGCCGGAGTTTAAATTTTATTCTAATCCATTTAAAAATAATAATTTTTATTTAATATATTTAAATATGTATTAATTACAATTTATAATCAAATTTGATATTTGACTAGAATTTGACGTATTGTGTCCAACCCTATAGAATTAAATTCCTTTTAGTTCAAGTTCGAGTTGGATATTTTTTTTTTGTAAAAGTAGATTAAATTAGATTCAGGTTTAAGGTGAAAATATTCATCTATGCAGAAAATAATAATATAATTTATTCTATCGTTGTTTGGACGAGTTTACTACAAAATTCGATATTGTTATTTGTTAGTTACATTGCAATAATTACAGGAACTACGCTCCATCTATCCTTCATACAACAATTCCCTACTACAAATTAACTTACAAAGGGTACAGAGCTGACTGCCTCAAGCAAACTTAAAGCCATTGCTAATGATTTACTCCAAAAATAAAAAAGGATGGCACATTCACTACAAGGTGATATTCAACGCTTTGATGTATGTGCTTGATTTGCAGTCGCCAGTTTTACAATTTTCAACTATACTGTCATCAACTAAGTGTACCAAAATCGATTCCTGAATGCTTATTCGATATCTTTTACGGCATCCTGCACCATCACAATCCAGGGAGCGGATATCAAATAATTAATTCCAATGGAGAAAGAACATGATTCATTTTCAATGCCTACAATACGCGATGCGATTTTGGGACGACCACTAATCCTAACCTGCCCCATACCTCTTGGAATTGGAAGTCATCCAATGATATTTGGACTGATGATATGAACATGGGCAATACAAAGGTCAATGGTCTGAGAAGGTAGCCGAATGACATTACCTTTGCAAGCTGTGTCATGTAAGCAGCGGCTACAGCAGTGACCAAGTTCGAGTCCAAGTGTCAATATACCATTTCCCCCACCAATCCCAAACTCTGAATCCTCTTGCTGGAAATTTCCCAAATGGAGAGAAAAATAATTCATTTGATAAAACATAACTCAGTCAATTGCATGATAACTGACCATAACAACAAAAACATGCACTTAAACACCACAGACTGAATAATTTAAGACTCAAAGGGCCTAAAATGGGTGTAGGGATGAAAACCCAAATAGGTTTTGACTCGAATAATCAGTACAGTAACTGAAATCATTAGGTAGCAAAAAGATTTCTAGTTCCTTCTTATAGTAAACTCCTAGTAAGATATTTGTCATCTGTGTAACCATTCAAACAGAAATATGAGCCAGAACTAAAATGAAGATCTCGAATTCATTATACAGTAGACAAGAAGTTGATACTTCAAAAACAATGTAGGAAAGAACCATAATATGCTAGGAAGAAGCAAGAGTTTAGTTTTTCGATATGAAAATATGAAGTTTGAATGACTGAAATTTGATCATGTAGGTCACTTCCAAAGGAATAACAATGAAAACTTACAATAATTGCCCGACCGAATGCACCGGCACTGACATAAGCTCATGTTCCTGAAAGCATCCCCAACCAACTGCATGACGATTATTGGCTCAGTTTGGAGAAAAAAGTGGATAGCAAGTAGACTTTTAGCAAACTTCTATTCCCAGATTTACAGGCAATAAGTTTTCTACCAAACATCAAGTTGGTTTTAAATCATAATCTAGCCTTTAGATCATAGAAAGCCGTAGGCTAAACAATTGTTCATTAGGCCCCCTTCTTATCTCAGAATTGACTGTTGGAAAAGTCAATTAAGGTGGGTTGAAAAAAAAACAAAAGGGGAGCACCATTTTTCAGCAAAGTGCCCCAATTTTAAATTAAAATATTTTTTGGGTTAATTACATTTTAGCCATTGCATACTTTAAGGTATTTACAAGATTAGTCCTAAAACTTCAATTATAAATACCCTAGCTCATTTAGTTTCAAAATCATCCCAAAATCTTCCAGTTCTCTCTCAAGTGTGTTTTGTAAACACCTGTAATTTTTTCTTTTTAGTAAAAGATCTGCAGCAGTCCGGAGACGTAAGCACAATTGGCTGAACTCCGTTATCAATTTTTCGGGTATTATTTTTCGGCTTTTATTTTGTATTCTCACTAATCTGGCTATAGGAAAATTACTTGTTACTCGTTTATTTCCCAACAACTGGTAATCAGAGCTTTTGGGTTGTGAATTTTATCAATTTTTTGCGAAGTTACTATTCATTACTATTCACGTGAATAGTAAATTTCGTGAATAGTGAAATTTTGTCGACGATACGAATTTATCGACGGAGGTGTTATAATACACGGTGGTTCGCACAAATTGTCAGAAACGATCCGAAGAAGCCAGATTCGAGTGGGAGCGATGGCTGCAGACGAAAGGAAGGTGAAAATTGAAAAGTTCGATGGTGCAGACTTTGGCTTTTGGAAGATGCAGATCGAAGATTTTCTGTATCAGAAAAATCTATATCAACCCCTCTCAGGAAAGCAACCAGAGGGCATAAAGAATGAAGACTGTGCTCTTCTCGACTGATAAGCCCTTGGAGTTATCCGATTGACGTTGTCCCGAAATGTTGCTTTCAACATAGCAAAGGAAAAGACCACGGCGGGTCTTATGGCGACTATCTCCAGTATGTATGAGGAAGCCATCGGCCTCAAACAAAGTTCATTTGATGAGACGATTATTCAATTTGCGGATGACGGAAGGGGCATCAGTGGCTCAATACCTGAATGAACTCAACACAATCACAACCCAGTTGAGTTTCGTGGAAATTGAATTCGATGATGAAGTTCGAGCTTTAATTCTCTTATCATCTCTACCAGACAGTTGGAATGCTACTGTTACAGCAGTTAGCAGCTCGTCGGGAAATAGTGAATTGAAATTCGACAATGTTCGGGATCTGGTACTGAGCGAAGAAATTCGACGGAGAGAATCGGGTGAAGCATCAACCTCCTCAGCCTTGCACACGGAGTCCAGAGGGAGAACTTCAGAAAGAAATTCAAATCGTGGCAGATCGAAATCCAGAAGGGGCAAATCAAGAACAGGAAAAAAAAGATTTTACCTGTTATAATTGTGGCAAGAAGGGTCACTTTAAAAGAGATTATCGAGCACTGAAGAAAGATGCCGGTGCACAAGAATTTACCAACATGACAGAGGAGACAGGTGATGCCATGATTCTAAGCGTCAACACTCCGATTGAATCATGAATCTTGGATTCAGGGGCATCTTTCCACTCCACCCCATGCCGAGAAATCATGGAGAACTATGTCAGTAGTGATTTTGGGAAGGTTCATCTAGCCGATGATGAAACCTTGAAGATCGTCGGAAAAGGAGACATCCGATTAAAGTTGCCAAACCAGACCACTTGGACGCTGAAAGGTGTGAGACATATTCCTGGTCTCAAAAAGAAATTTGATTTCTGTTGGACAGCTTGATGGAGAAGGATATAACACAACTTTTTCAGACTGTGAATGGAAGATTACCAAAGGAGCGCTCGTCATTGCTCGTGGTAAGAAAACTGGTACTCTCTATGTAACCTCAAATTTAGAGAATATCATTGCAGCCGCAGATGCTGATGGAAAATTAAACCTATGGCACCAAAGGCTTGACCATATGAGCGAGAAAGGGATGAAGACGCTTTTGTCAAAAGGGAAGCTGCCGGATCTAAAGAATGTAGATGTCGGACTATGCGAGGATTGCATCTTTGGCAAACAAAAGAAAGTCAGCTTTGCAAAGATTGGTAAGACACCCAAGGATGAAATGTTAGAGTTGGTTCATACTGATGTATAGAGACCATCTCCAATTCCATCTCTTGCAGGCTCACTATATTATGTCACCTTCATCGATGATTCTACAAGGAATGTGTGGGTTTATTTTTTGAAGAATAAATTAGAAGTCTTTGCTACCTTCAGAAAATGGAAGGCCATGGTGGAAAATGAGACTGGTCTGAAAGTCAAGCGGTTGAGGTATGACAATGGAGGAGAGTATAGAAATAGGAGATTCAGAGACTTCTGCGCAAACAATGGGATCAAGATGGAGACAACAATTCCTATGACACCGCAGTAGAATGGCGTAGCAGAGCGCATGAACAGAACTCTGAATAAACGTGCCAGAAGCATGAGGATACATGCCGGATTGCCCAAATTTCTATGGACTGAAGCTATCAACACTGCAGCTTACTTGATCAATTGTGGGCCCTCAGTTCCTTTGGATGGCAGAATACCAGAGGAAGTTTGGAGCAAGAAATAAATAAACCTTTCACACTTAAGAGTGTTTGGTTGTATTTTTTATGTACGTATAGACTCTGCTGAAAGAAGTAAACTTGATGCTAAGTCCAACAAAAGTGCCTTTGTTCGGTTACCGGTTTTGGGACTATAAAAATCGGAAGATCATCAGAAGCAGAGATGTCATTTTCAATGAGAATGTGATGTACAAAGACAGATCAACTGTAGAATCAAGCAACTCCAATACCAAAGCTGAAATAAAGGAATTTGCTGAGTTCGAGGAGATTTCTGGAAATGATGTTCAGATCAGTCCTGAAGCAGTTCAATAAGAACCATGCACACCGGAACTAAGACACTCCTCCAGAATTCCTAAACCAACCCAACGGTATTCTCCTTCTTTGCACTACTTGTTGCTGACTGACAATTGTGAACCATAGTGCTATGATGAAGCAATGCAAGTGGAGGATTCAGTTAAGTGAGAGTCTTCCATGAAAGATGAGATGGACTCTCTTATATCAAATCAGACGTGGGAATTAGTTGAATTACCACCATGCAAGAAAGCGCTTCACAACAAGTGGATTTACAGGATCAAAGAAGAGCACGATGGGAGCAAACGTTAAAAAGCGAGATTGGTTGTCAAAGGTTTTCAGCAAAAAGAAGGTATTGACTACAATGAAATTTTCTCTCCAGTCGTGAAACTGTCTACTATCAGACTGGTGTTGAAAATTGTAGCTGCAGA